TAATTGGTTCACTAGCATATCACAAGCTGCATTGTGTGTTTATGATTTCACCCAGCATGACCAAATTCTGCATGTTCTGTATATGATTAGTATTTCTAAAACCTTGAACGCTTCATGAAGTGTTTGTCTAGTTTGATCATCTAAGTCCAACTTGTTCTATTTCACTAATGAGATCCTATTTGTGTCTAAAATCTGTGTGTTCTCAACTTAACTTTGCAACTACAATCAGTGTATTTGTTTGTCATCACTAAGGTGCATTCTAGGTGTCCCTCCACCCCTTTCCTTTGTGTGAAGTCTGTTCTGAAACTGTGTGTTCTATGACTTACTCTCTGATTGTAAAAATGTTCTTCATGTTTCTCAAACTATTTCTACTCTAACTATGGTCTGGTTTTCAAAAGATTCTTGCCATTACTAAGACCTTATTTCTACTATCTACCGAACTCTTTCAAGTCATTATGCACTCTCACATTACTCTTAGATTAACTAAGTCCTGGCCCTCTGGTATGCGTACTGCTTTGAGATCCTTGAGATCTCTCTGAACTCTGGCATATCAGGGTTGGCACTTCCACACTGCACATAATCAGTCTCTGTTTGGTGAAAGTCTGGGTGTGAGCACTACCCGGGATCCTTGAGATCCTTAGGGAACTCTGACACACCTAGACATGAATTGGGCTGTGGAACTTTGGGTGTTTGATATAAGTAAAGGCTTGGTACACCATGACTGTTTTGGGCCTGCTTCAGGCTCCCTATAGATTAATTTTCTTTTCTATTTTTTTATGTAATTTATATTCAGTTCTTGGTCTGTAATAACTATTGTAAACAAACAGTGGGGTGACTAGTGAAAAAAGGGGGGGTAGTTATATCTATTGTGGGTAGGATTGTGTAGATATCATGCCTATAGGGTCTATGTTGATTCAAATGTGTTTGCTATGTCTACTTTACTTCCACAATTAGAAATCATGCCTATAGGATCTAAATGGCTTTAATAATAGAGATCATGCCTATAGGGTTAAAATCAGCTTTTAATAATAGAGATCATGCCTATAGGAGTTGAAATTAGCTCTAATAGAAATCATGCCTATAGAACTTAAAACCAGTTTAATTAGAAAACAGTTTAATTCACGGGTGTTTTGAATTGGATTAGTTAATTCATCTGTCACTTCTTTAATAAGTTTTTCAAGCGCTGCCTTAAGTTAATACTGCTAGAAAGCATGCCTATAGATCTCAAGTTGTCATTTAAAAATTGTTTTATTGTTTCACTGATTCATATAGATATCATGCTCTTAGGACATCACTATTATGCTCTTAGGCAAGCCTATAAGGCGATTAAAATCTTGCAACTATAAAACTGCACCTTGAGACTGCTCACTTTTAACAGGTCTAAAATCAGTAGGATTCAGTTCTTTGACACTCTGGCCTGAATTCAGTGCTGTATAATCTCTGCTCACCTAAGATATCATGTCTGGGGTTTTCTCTTAGAATACCTTGAACAATTGTTTGAGACGTGCATTTATTTGTTCTGCTTGTGGAGGTAAAATGTGAGCCTTTAGGTGTTCCCTCTTTAAATGCAGTCCTAATTGTTTTGATTGACGCCTAGACTTTTCTCCTTTAAATACCTTAGGATGGTCTAGAACTACCTAAAATTAGAGGTCCTAAAATACCTCCAGGGCCATGAGGAAGGGCGGGTAAGTGCACGCATGGATACTTTTCAAGNTGTGCACATAGCACTTACACCCAAAGCCCTAAGATCGGATATGTTTGGTTTTCTCCCATTAAGTAACTCATAGGGAGTTTTCTCAACAAGAGGTCTAGTCATGCATCTATTGATTATATAACAAGCAATGTTTACAGCCTCTGCCCAGAAGCTATGAGGTAATTTACTAGAAAGTAGCATGGTCCTAGCCATATCCTCAAGAGTCCTATTCTTCCTTTCAACTACCCCATTTTGCTGAGGAGTCCTAGGGGCAGAAAAATTATGATCTATTCCATTTTCATCACAAAATTTAGCAAACTTTGCATTTTCAAATTCAGTTCCATGATCAGACCCGATGGATGCAAGTTGATTTCCTAATTGTTTCTGGGTTTTTCTAATAAAAGCAGTGAACATTTCAAATGCTTCATCTTTAGAAGTTAGAAACAATACCCAGGTAAATCTAGAATAATCATCAACAAGCACCATTACATATCTTTTACCACCTCTGCTCATGGTTCTCATTGGACCACAAAGATCCATATGAACCAGTTCTAACGTCTTGGACGTACTTACCATTTTCTTAGGTTTGAAGGATGACCTTACCTGCTTCCCCCTTGCACATGCCTCACAAACTTTGTCTTCCTTGAACTTGATATTAGGTAACCCTATCACCAAGTCCTTGGAGACTAATTTGTTCAATTGATTTAGACTGGCATGGCCAAGTCTTTTGTGCCAAAGGAGGGGATCATTAATTAACACACTCAAGCAAGTTAGTTCATTTTCAGAGAGAGTTGACAGATCTACAATGTAAATATTGTTAACTCTCCTTCCCTGCAAAACAATCTTGTCAGTAGTAAGGCTAATCACAAAACATTTTGTGGAAGTGAAAGCCACAAGGTTAGCTCTGTCACACAGTCACTTATCAGGCTATATTTTAAGCCATCTATCAAATAGACATTCTCAATGGAATGAGAGTCTGTCTTTCCTACCTTTCCAACACCAATGATCTCACCTTTCTTTCCATTTCCAAAGGAGACATTACCTTCTTTTAGGTTCTCAAGTGAAAGGAACTGGTTCTTGTTACCAGTCATATGTTTTGAGCAGCCACTATCCATGTACCATATTTGGCTACTTCCCTTCACTTGGTCCTCCTGTTCATCTTCTGATTCTCCGATGGCCATTAGAGCTTGATCCTCCTCAGCTTCATCTTCAGAGTCCTCATCTGATGTTTCTCCCCAAGCAGCAACCATAGCCTTAGTTGAACCTTTGTTTCTTTTTGGTTGAACCTGTTCCTTCTTCCTGTTTCTTCTTTCAGCTCTTTCTTTCTTCCATTCAATCCCCCATTGAGGGCAGTTTCTGATGTGGTGATCAGTCTTCCCACACTTGTAACACCCCTCATTGGTTTGTTTCTCAGGAGCCCTTGATTTGCTGAATGTTGTTCCTTTTGAAGCACCCTTTCCTCTCATAAGATATTTCTTGAAATCTCTGGTTATCATAGCCAATTCATCATCTTCAAGATCTGATCCTTCTGAAATTCTGAGAGCCAGACTTCTTTCTTTCTTTGGAGCATCCATCTTCATTGTTTGCCTTCTCAATTCATAGGCAGTGAGATTTCCAATCAGTTCATCCAACTTCAAAGTAGCAATGTTCTTGGATTCCTGAATGGCAGTGATTTTTCTTTCCCAGGAGATTGGCAAAACTCTAGTTAGAATCTTCTCCACCTTGTCTTCTTCCAGGATAATCCTTCCAAGAGACTCAAGTTCATTTGTCAGTGTAGTGAACCTGGTATACATTTCTTGGATAGTTTCTCCATCCTTCATAGTAAAATTCTCATATTGAGAATACAGCAGTGTTCCTCTTGACCTTTTCACCTGAGGTGTTCCTTCATGAGCCACTTGTAAAGTGTCCCAAATCTCCTTGGCAGCAGTACAGCCTTGAATCCTGCTGTACTCATCAGGACCAAGTCCACACACTAACCATTTCTTGGATTTTGCATTTTTCTCCCATTTCCTTAGATCTTCAGCAGTACAATCTACTCTTGTCTTTGGAACATCCACTCCTTCAGCATTCTTCTTGGTTGTGGCTAAAGGACCATCAGTGATGATATCCCAAAGCTCATAGTCTTCGCCCATTATATGGTCCCTCATTTTGTTTTTCCACCAGGAGTAGTAGAGACCATTAAAGAGAGGAGGCCTGGCAGTGGATTGCCCTTCCCAGTTCCCGGGTGGTGCACTCATGTTGATCTTTTCCTAAGGTGTTAACCTCTTCAAGGATAACCTGCTCTGATACCAATTGATGTTATAAACGTCAATACCACACAAGAGGGGGGGTGATTTGTGTGGTACCTAATTTTCGCGTTAGAAGAACCTGGTTCTTCTAAGTGTTCTAACTACAGCAGTTTGCGGAATAATAAATGGTAAAAGTAAAGTGCACAGAGATTTTTACGTGGAAAACACCTGGCTCAAAAGGTGAAGAAACCATGACCTACTACTCAGTAGGATTTTCCCAAACTCCACTAAAATCACTGAGCCAAAAACTGCATTTACAAAACTCTTTGTAAACCTAAGGATTAACTCTAATCCCAGTGTAGCACACAGCCTCACATGTTGCGACACTTTCAAGTTAACTCTAACTTGAGTACTCAATATACCTATTACAATTGCTTCTATGAAAGATGAAAGGTTCAATATGAAAACCTACTACAATTGAACTAGACTTAGAATAAACACAATGATGAAACTGGTTCTTCTATCTTAGTTCATGTAGCTTCAGACGTGCACACTTGTATCTCGCATATGTTGCTTGCAAATCAGACTTGATCTTTTTGCTCTCAAATATGCTTAACTTCTGCTTATGTGCAATCACCTGTAAAAGAGAACAATCGTTATATTTATAGAGTTAGTAATCAGAGTTTGATAAGAACTCGAATTGTGGATCCTTTGACAATTCGAGTCCAAGAACAACTCCAACTCCTAATCCATATCCTTGATCCGGATATAATTCTCTTTTCATAAGGAGACTTCAACTCCTTATCCTATATGCAATATTTTCGATCAATTCAGAAGATATTGTTGCTGATCCTTGAGACTTATCTTCTTCACGCGTATGTCACATGTGTAAGCATATCAACACTGTGTCTCACATTATGGACCTGGTTCATGACTGAGTTCATTTTGTCAATCTTCAAAACTTCATCTGAACTTGGGCCAACAAATATGTGTTGCTAAAGAAATTTGGAGAAACTCTCACGAGGGGAGCCTTGACGTGGTATTCACTGTTACCCGAGCATTCCATAGATTTCCTCGAAATGCTCGCGGACTATTTCATCAAGGTTTATGCCGGGGCCAGAAAAGTACAGGCTCGAAAAGCCGATATATTCAGGATTGCGCAATGGGAGTCCGAGTTACTACGAGAATTTGTTACCCGATTCCAGAAGGAAAGAATTTTGCTCCCGGCTATCCCGGATGAATGGGCAACTGAAGCATTCACCAAGGGATTGAATCTGAGAAGTTCAGACGCTTCTCGAAAACTGAAGGAAAGCCTACTTGAGTTTCAAGTAACGACTTGGACGGATGTCCACAACCGGTATGAGTCAAAAATAAGGATCGAGGATGATCAGGTTGGTTTTCCATCATCGACCAAAGGACGGGAGAAGAACAGAGAAAAATCAAAATTTGATTATGACACGGACAGACGAAATGCGAGGGGCCAATTTTTTCCCTACGAGTGGACTAAAAGACGTGGCAGAAGCTTCCGTACAACGATTAGTTTTCCGCTGACAAGAGGACTGATCGTGGTCGGAACGATAGAACACTGCAGGATAAAGATACTTCAGGGTCACTGGATCCTTCTTACCCCAAGTTATCAAAATACAACTTCAACGTTAGTATAGTGCAATTGGTGTCAGCCATGAGAAACATCAAGGAGGCACGGTTCCCGAGACCAATGAGATCTGATCCTAGCCATAGGGATCCAAGCTAAAAACAATTATGGTCATAACAGAGATAACGCGAAACCCTCCAACGTAGGAAAAGAACCCCCACGCCAAACGATAAATATGATCTTCGGAGGGAATGAGATTAACGGGGTCACCTTTTTGGCACCAAAGAAGGCGAAAGTATCAATAACTCATAGTAAAAGGCTCTGGGAAGACGATATCACTTTTACAAAGGAGGACGCAGACGTATTGCTGCTACCACACAACGACGCACTGGTAATTTATTTAAATATGCTAGGTTTTAAGATTAAACGGGTTCTAGTGGATCCAGGAAGTTCGGCTAATATCATACAATGGAGAGTATTCGAGGAAGCTAAACTCACCAGAAGCATCATTCCGGCCATGAAGCTCCTCGCCAGATTCAGCCTCGCAAGTGTGACTGTTGATACCTAATTTTTCCTCATATATTTTTAACACATCTATATATGCTTTCAAAATAGTATAAGCATGCATAAACATTTTTATAATTTTTTCTATAACTTTTAAAAGCCCCAAATCAATTTATTTCTTCTCTTTATTTATAAAATATCCAATAATTATTCTTCAAACTACTTTTGCGATGATTTAGTCATCTAAATTCCTTATTTATGCCAATATAGTGTTTAAATATTTTTAGTGTATTTGTATAGTTATATTTGCATTTTTAGGGCAAATTGCACATTTTTGCAATAATAGCTCATATTAATGTATAATTACATTATTGATGCATAAATTGCTCTTTATATTTTTTAAAATGTCAAATAAATATTTTAAATCATTTTAGCACACAAAGATATTTTTGAAATTCATTTATTATTTTTATAAATTACATAGTACTAAAATTGGTTATTTAAAATCTGGCCTATTTTTATTTTCAATTTTAGCCCCAATTTAACCCAATACCCAGCCCAACGTTTAAACCTAAACCTACCCAGGCCCAATACCCATCCGCCTGACCCGATCCACCCCAAAACTCTTTCAATCTCGGTCGTTGATCACAGAGATCAACGGCCACAATCCACCCTTTCCTTTTTTAGTTCAAACGACCCCTAAACTCTAACCATTTCTCACACATCGCCGCACTTGAATCCCTTTCTCTCTGGTTCTCTCTGAAACCCAACCCCTAACCCTAATCACTGTCACCTAAAATTAGCCATAATCCTTTGAATCCCTGTTCGATCTATGGCATCCTATGGCTGTACGAAGTCTCTACTTGTCTCATATCCCCTTGGTTGTTCGATTATGTGATTTTTGTGGAAAAAACTAGAAGATATCTGGTCCAGATCTCGTTCAAAGCTCTTCAAGGGTTCGTCCATGATTTGCGAGTGATTCCTACTGAATTCATGGTTCAAATCTCTGGTTCAAAACCAGGTTTTCTTTACTCCTCTTTTCTCCTCTAAACCCTAATCTTCGGACATGAATCCGTCCGATCTTTGTAGATTTGGAAGGGGTTCTGAGTTTGTCCATGACTTTGCTTTAATGATATCTTTTTTTATTTACTGTCAACCGATTTTAGCACTATATCTTGGTCTCTTTGCTATCTACTGTTCGAATCTCTGCACACCTAAAAATGTTTTCGAGTTCCTGTGATTTTTTCTTTAAGTTCCTCTTATTCCTCTACAACTGACCGGATTCAAGCACTATAATACTTCAAGTTTTTGACTTCTATGGCTTGGGTTTCCTGAAATTTTCTTTCTCAAAAACGTTTAATGATTTTTTGAGTGTTTAAATCTTCTGTTTCTTGTGTGTTTTGACAGATTTCATGAAGATTACCTTTAACCCTAACTTGTTTATGCTAAAAGCCCTAATTTCTCGGCATTATTGTTTGGATTCTGAGTTCTTCTGGGTTATTTGGGTATTGACTTTGTCCTATGCTTTATTTCTGTGATTCTTCTTGGCCTAATCCGATGACTTTTGATCCTAATGTGCCTCTACTGATGTTCTTGGTTCAACTCTTCTGCTAATTCTATATGTCTATGTTCATTTTTTACCTATTCAAGGTAAACCTATATTTTTCTCCTTAAATCAGTGATTGATTTGGATTCTTGATTTATTAGTTTGTTTTTTTAAGACCTATTCCTGACTATTTCCTTATTTACAATCTTGAGTAGTTTTACCTTGTTTGATTAACCGTGATACTTACTGATTCTTTACCAATCATTTCCTTAATTAAAATTCTTTCTATATCCCCTTAATTGCTCGTTTGAATTTCTTTCCTTAAATGTGTTCTGCCTTGCCCGTTGGTTGATTACCCTTAATTAAGGGAAAATTATACTAACTAATGTATAATTGATTCTGTGGCTTCCTTAATTACAGAAGGGTTGATTCCCTTCACCTTATTTTCCTTGATTCTTAACTGCTATATATGCTCTCCTTTACTCCTCACTTCTGGACACGAACACTAGTTCATCTACACTCTCACACTCTCAAAGCTCTATATTCTCTTCTGTTCCTTGCAATTCTTATTAGTCCTGCTGACTGTAAGCCAAGGCTGGCTACTTGCACCATCTCTGCTCTATACCCTATATTCTCTCCTTAATTGGTATGTTCTGATTCAATTCACAGTCCAAATTATGTGTTTTCTTTGTTGCTGCAATTCGTCCGTTTGTGATTTCCAGTTCTATGTGCTATTCTACTCAATATGCAATCAGCATGCCTAGATTACTTTATCACAAAGCATGTCTAAGCTTATTCTGTTAAAGGTTATAGCCATTATACTATTTAGCATGCTAATCCTCCTTTAAATAATTGGTTCACTAGCATATCACAAGCTGCATTGTGTGTTTATGATTTCACCCAGCATGACCAAATTCTGCATGTTCTGTATATGATTAGTATTTCTAAAACCTTGAACGCTTCATGAAGTGTTTGTCTAGTTTGATCATCTAAGTCCAACTTGTTCTATTTCACTAATGAGATCCTATTTGTGTCTAAAATCTGTGTGTTCTCAACTTAACTTTGCAACTACAATCAGTGTATTTGTTTGTCATCACTAAGGTGCATTCTAGGTGTCCCTCACCCCTTTCCTTTGNTAAGACCTTATTTCTACTATCTACCGAACTCTTTCAAGTCATTATGCACTCTCACATTACTCTTAGATTAACTAAGTCCTGGCCCTCTGGTATGCGTACTGCTTTGAGATCCTTGAGATCTCTCTGAACTCTGGCATATCAGGGTTGGCACTTCCACACTGCACATAATCAGTCTCTGTTTGGTGAAAGTCTGGGTGTGAGCACTACCCGGGATCCTTGAGATCCTTAGGGAACTCTGACACACCTAGACATGAATTGGGCTGTGGAACTTTGGGTGTTTGATATAAGTAAAGGCTTGGTACACCATGACTGTTTTGGGCCTGCTTCAGGCTCCCTATAGATTAATTTTCTTTTCTATTTTTTTATGTAATTTATATTCAGTTCTTGGTCTGTAATAACTATTGTAAACAAACAGTGGGGTGACTAGTGAAAAAAGGGGGGGTAGTTATATCTATTGTGGGTAGGATTGTGTAGATATCATGCCTATAGGGTCTATGTTGATTCAAATGTGTTTGCTATGTCTACTTTACTTCCACAATTAGAAATCATGCCTATAGGATCTAAATGGCTTTAATAATAGAGATCATGCCTATAGGGTTAAAATCAGCTTTTAATAATAGAGATCATGCCTATAGGAGTTGAAATTAGCTCTAATAGAAATCATGCCTATAGAACTTAAAACCAGTTTAATTAGAAAACAGTTTAATTCACGGGTGTTTTGAATTGGATTAGTTAATTCATCTGTCACTTCTTTAATAAGTTTTTCAAGCGCTGCCTTAAGTTAATACTGCTAGAAAGCATGCCTATAGATCTCAAGTTGTCATTTAAAAATTGTTTTATTGTTTCACTGATTCATATAGATATCATGCTCTTAGGACATCACTATTATGCTCTTAGGCAAGCCTATAAGGCGATTAAAATCTTGCAACTATAAAACTGCACCTTGAGACTGCTCACTTTTAACAGGTCTAAAATCAGTAGGATTCAGTTCTTTGACACTCTGGCCTGAATTCAGTGCTGTATAATCTCTGCTCACCTAAGATATCATGTCTGGGGTTTTCTCTTAGAATACCTTGAACAATTGTTTGAGACGTGCATTTATTTGTTCTGCTTGTGGAGGTAAAATGTGAGCCTTTAGGTGTTCCCTCTTTAAATGCAGTCCTAATTGTTTTGATTGACGCCTAGACTTTTCTCCTTTAAATACCTTAGGATGGTCTAGAACTACCTAAAATTAGAGGTCCTAAAATACCTCCAGGGCCATGAGGAAGGGACGGGTAGTGCACGCATAGGATACTTTTCAAGGTTGATAGAACACTTTAGGCTACGACCCAGGGGAGGGAATTGGGTAGTAAGGATATGATGACACGTGCTAATGTCACGTGTAGCCCCTCATTGAGGAGTGATTACCGGGCATTGTGTGGGTATGATCCTGTAGGCTAACCAACCTAGGACCTCCCTTTCCCAACTTCCGTTGTTTAAAATGAATTTACTTTTCTTCATATATGTGCATTTTGTTCAAACCTTTTCCCTTGTTTCATTTATTTGGATCATACATGTGATTAGAATGTCAAAACATGCCTTTACTTGCAAGTACGTGCTTAAACTGTTTATTTGTTAAAAGGACTAATATAAGTTCGACCGGGCCCACCGTTGTGGACCGCGAGGGGTGCTTAACACCTTTCCCTCAAGGTTATTTCGAGCCCTTACCCTAAATCTCTGGTAATGCAAACTAGTCCATAAGTTAACGGCTCAAGGTGCCCTAACGCACCATAATTCGTTAGGCGACGGCTCTTCAAAAAGCCAATTCCCAAAAGGAAACGAGTTAATCCCCCATGGAATGTCGAAACCCGGACCTTTCTCCGCAAGGAGGAAAAAGGGGACGCGACAGCATGGAGACTCTGCTGGGGATATTATTAGGCTCTTACCATAACGAACTTATTTTTTGTAAGTTAGTCCACGCATGCTCTATCCCACGTACCCTTTCCCCTTATTTTAATTTAACTGTTTATTTTTAAGTATTTATGATTTCTTTATTTTTCTGAAACTGACTTGTCTCTTTGTTTTCTTTTGTAACCGTCCTTCAATTATTTAAATACTGCATTTATTATTCTTTTACGTGCAAATACTTGACAACATGCTATTATTGTTGCATATACTCCACATCATATTCCACTCGTGCGTATCAAAATCCTATAGCAACGCTTGATGAGTGGTTGCGCTCTTCCAATTTATTACCGTTAAATTCGGAATGACTTGTTTGCGGTAAAACTAGTCGATCAGCGGTGCAGCCGACGGTTCCGTGCCTTTTCCCCTCAAGTTGTCCGCTTGAGGGTACCAGTCTAGACCCCCATAGTAACCTTACTCTGATCGTAATTGTGCATG